ATGATCAGTGTTCAGCAGTCAGAGCTGCTCCGTGTATCTTTACTCATCAGTGGCATAAAGTTGACTTGACATCAAAGTGAATGTTAACTGTTTCCTTACTTTCATTTCCTTTAGTTAATGTTTGAAATGTCACTAATGTAATGTTCCTGTAGACATAACCTGTACTGCATTGGTTGTTAACACTGCCATGTTATGAAATAAAGTCCTTTTGGAAGGCGCCGCCTCAGCGTCTACACCATGCTGTTTTATGTCTTACCTGTAAAGAGCTTGGTTATAATAAAAGCAGCTGGGTGTGCTACTTGGCAACCATCATCTTTATGAGTTAAAACATGTGAAGAATTGCAGAAAATGCACATTTTCTCTGCTAAACTTATTAATTAAAAGGTACCTTTTGGTAAAGGTCAAGTTTTTGCTCTACTTGCATCAAATGCATCAAATTTTAGAATATTTCTTCAGTTCTCCTGATTCTGTATCCTACATATTTGATTTATTCATATTTGATCTGTTTTGTCTCAGGTAAAATTATTATTTTTAGATCCAACAGAATAAAACACAAAATTAAATTAAGAAAAAGGTTCTGTGAAAGAATAAAATTATTTAATTAAGGCAGCTGTTCTGTTAGATGAAAAAAATAACATTCTAAGTCGTTATTGCAGCCCGTTGTTTTGTGAGAAAGCTAATTGTCTCCCTAAGACTAATTTTTAAAGCATCTCTGATTCTGTGTTCAGGCTAAACTGAGTATCTCCACAGGAAGCAGTATCTGTTAAATCATTAGTAAGGAAATCAGGAATCCAGACTTCACTCTTGTTTTTCTGCTGAGAAGAGAGGCAGCTCCAGTAGTTCTACCTGAAAACTTAAGTTAATTTCAATGTTTACAACTTAAAACTGAATTCTGGTCGTTTCAAAGTGAGGAGATGTTTGAAACCCAAATATTAAGCAAATAGTAACTCAGAACATAAATTAATCCTTATATCTTTTTGGATAATTTTATCATTCCTTCTTCAAACGTAACTCTTAAGCAGAAATGATTGATTTATAATCATAAACTTAACATTGATTATCTGCTACAGACATGACTGAGTATCTTGAACCCCGTCCACAAAGTTCTGCTGATATTAGAATAAACGCCTCCCTACGGCCTTTTTCTGGGCTAAATTTTTATATTGTTGATTTGATTTTTCACCAGTTAACTGTTTTATCTCCATCATCTTCTAGTAATTATTTCTTATTGGTCAAGCATCGTGGAAAGGGAAATGTAAGTAAATGGATAAATATGAAGTTCCACAGAGACACTGTTAGTTGTGTTCTATAAAATAACAAATAAATCTACTGGACTTGGTTTCCAAGTTTGAAGACGTTTCGCTTCCCATCCAGGAAGCTTTTTAAATTCTAGTGGATTGCGTTTTTTTTTTTTACATTTTTGGAGTGACTATGACCTGGATAATAAATAATGTAATGCTTGTTATTATGGGAAATCCCTCAGCGCCAAAGTTCCTCCATCATGTAATACTGAAAGTAGAAATCTCTGTTCCTCTGTCTCTCTTCCAGTAAATATTTGGAACTCTTTGAAGTTATTAAAGGTCAGCTTTCTCATACCAGAAATAAAGAACAACGTTGATATAATAAAATAGATCAGTTCTCCAGTAAAACCAGGATAAAAGCTCACTTCTCCATTTTGTCCTGAGTTCAGACTACTACATGAATCTTTAGCTAATATTCAAAACAATTTTAGAGAAGAATGTGGAACATGACTATGAATTTAGAACTGAGAGGAGGAACTGTTACAAAGGGGAATTCTTAGAAGATGATTCAGGAGGGAGGCAGACTTTTCTCCACTGATGCTGCTCAGCCCAGTGGTGTGAAAAAGGTTTACTGGACCTGCAGATATAAATGATTTCAATAGAATCTCTATAAAGGATTAATAAATTATGAAAAAACCCAAGAGTTTCAACTTTCAATCTGGAAAGGGTGAAAAGACATTCTTAAGCCTTGAAACATAATTATACCAAATTAAGAGACTTCATGTAAAGTTGGAAAAAACACGCCTTAGTGGTGAACCTCTGCAGAAGAAGACAGTAAAACTAGTCCGACTTAACTAAATTAAGGCCAGAGTTTAAGATTTAACGAGGCAGAGCAGAATGCTGTTAATAGGAAGTCTTCTAGTGGAAATGACTTAAAGGTCAATGTGGGGATTTCGACATAACTTCAATCATTCCAAAGAAATATTTGTCTAAAACACTATTTTATTTAAAGGCGATACAAACAAGCACAATGACATCTTCCTGCAGCAGGGCTGAAACATCAGAGACACTCAGTCTCACTGCAGCGCCTCACTGCTGCTGGAAGCAGCCAGCAAACATAAGCAATCATCTTTTAAAAAAGAAAATGTCAATGTCAGGTGCTGGCTGCGCTAATACTACAAGCTAATGCTAGGACACTGCTCTGCAAAAAATCTAAATCTCAATAAGTTTTTTTTTCATAATATAAGTGCATTTTTTCTTGAATTAAGGAACTAAGTGAGACACTTTGCCAATGGAGCAAGACTATTTATTATATTATAAACTTATTATAAACTATTATATTGTCTAATTAAAAGTACATATTATAAAAATACTCATTCCATCTTATTTACCTGCTCATATTAAGGGTAAATACAAATAATTTAAGACATTTTTACTCATTTTTAGGTCATTTTTGCAATGTGATGTTTGAAAGCAAAATTAAGTCGCCCAGTAAAGAAGGCGAGACTAAATCTGGACTGAAATCCAGATCAGATGCTCTAGTTCAACCTGAAACATGTTCAGGAGAGCGAGGCCAAATTACTGAAGGTAGCAAAGAATCAATGGCAGCTGCTGTTTAAGCTCAACTAGTTACTAAACCTAAGGGACAAACACCATCTCACATAGATCATCGTTTGTAAGGCTTTTTTTCTCTAATAAAAAAGAAAAAAAATTTTTCCTGCTGGAAATGAACCAAAATAAGGAGTGAAAACACTTTTCCACAGCACGGTCCATGTTCTCTAGGTTGTAAGCCTCAGTGGCTTTACCTGGTGGGATGTTACCCACGATGCATCTTGATGTGACATCAGATCCACCTCAGCAGGTGTCCAATCCTCCGCCCCGCCGTCCTGACATTTACGCCGTCCCAAACATGAAGCCTTCTCTGTTTACTGAGGACTGCAAATGTGACCTTTCTTTATTTAATTTATTTTAAAGAATATTGAAAACAGCAAGGGTTCATATTTTAAAATGACAACCACAACAGACAATATACAACAAAGAACATTTTAATGAAACAAAGCAAACAAACCAGAAAACATTTAACAGCTTCGACAGGGTCTGTTTGATTTCCTGTGTTTAAAATCAGAGAATATCGTCACACAGCTAACATTCTGCATAACGACAGCAGACTGTTACATCCTTGGACTACAGTTACTGACGCTTTCATTAAATGCTAATCTAGTTTTCTATACTCTGTGGTTTGGGCAGCTTAGTTAGAAATTCAGCAATAGATCCTTAAAACTTCATTTCCTTCTATAGTCACTGCTGAAGCCAAAAAATGTATCCATTCAAAATACATGTTTTACCATAAGGTTCATTCTGTGCTTTTTAAGGCCAAAAAATGGATTCACCTCAACCTCATGTCACAGCTGGACCAAAGGGAAGAACCATTTGTCCCAGGAGCTTTAGAAAGTAAACAGAAGACCGTAAGATAGTTTTCCTCTTAACCTGCCAAACTAAGGGCAACAAAAAATGAACAGAACTTAGGTGAGCGCTGCTAAAAGCATGAGCTTCCTGTTAATACAGTCCATCAGCTGATAAATGAGTAAAAGTGGCACTTGGATCATCTGGTAACCTCAGAACACTTTGTCTTCTTCTACAGAAACAACAGTTTAAAGGGATGTAAAGATGCAGCGTCAAGATGATTGTTGCTGCTGAACCACCTTAGTGACAAAACACTTCCTGTTCTGGTAACCTCCATATTGCTACATCAGAAAAAAGTCACATACAGCAAGATTTCCTTCATCTTTGACACCTGATCTTTCCACTCAGAAGTCTCACGTTTCCCTTTTGATTCATTCTTATGCTACGTTCAGACCGCACGCAGCAAGAGCAGCAGAAACGCGCATGCTGCTTCATTTTTGATGCTTGTACAAGTTAAGTTCTGATGCGCAGCTTTGCTGCTCTAGCTGGTTGGGAGGAGCTACCCTATCCTTTCTTTGCCTGTAAAAATGGCAGCTATATTTGCTGTGATCAGTGGGTATAAAGTAGTTTTAATATGTTTTTAAGTGATAAAATCCACCTGAAAACTTCATCTGTGCTGTCAGTTCATCCAGATTACCATCCTGCCTTCAAATATTATTTCTGTCAGACCCCCACATACCGGCGGTGCGCAGTCACTACCGCGAAGAGGCAGTTTTCATTTCCGTAATCGGTTTTCATGTCCGTAATCCAAACTACAGGCACCAGAACAATGAAAGAGAGCCTGTTTTTAACGGCAGATTTCGGCATTTTAAGTTAATCTAGGCGTTAATAAATGTTTCGTCGGAGTGATCACAGCGATCTGCATCAGCAGCGATGTGTCTGTCTCCCTGCCCGCTCCCAGATCAGCTTCTCTAAATGGTAGACGTGGCGCGTCAAGCAGCAAAAGTTCAATTTTTCTCCAGCAGCTGTTGCTTCTGAAGTGCGTCAGATACTCAGAAGCTCACGACGCGCTTCTTCAGCTGCTCAACCTTTTGCAGGACGTTTTGCTGCACCTTGATGCACGTTAATCATTGACTTTATATGTAAAGCAGCTGCTCCTGCTGCCTTTGCTGCTTTAGGTGAGAACGTAGCATAAGACCTCTGAGGTTCAGCAGCTGAAGTAGAAAGAACCAAAAGTCTCAGTTAAAGAGCTTTCTCTATGGCCCACAATGCATCTCCATAGACAAACTATAAAGTACTGGAAGTTGTAGTTTCAGGTATAGTGATAACTCTTCTTAGAAGCTTTAATCTTCCTTATTTTTCATGAGCTGTAAAATGGAACTCAAAGACCCAGAAAAAGGTATCAAGTTGCAGAATTTTCCTCTTTTGGACAGAAGACAGTAAACTCCTTTAATAAATCTTTTCCTTTAGTAAGCTCCAAATTATTCCTCCCAAAAATTCCAACACGTTTGCTGAACAAGGCGGCGCAGTGCAGATGGCTGTAGGTGGATTTAACTCTTCGTTCCCATTAAACAAGGACAGCTCTGACTGGGCCGGACCCGGCCTCCACCACAGCTATGTGCTTGTTTGTTTAGCCTACAGGCCTGCAGCTAAATACAGGCAGTGGAAGATGCTGGAAGGCAGGATTTTAATGAAATGAAGAAGACTATCAGAAGCTGATATCAGACAGAAACCATCCAGATTGTTTTCTTTTAATCCCGTTTCCAGGATTTAGTAAACTGGCATCAGCTGATGTAGTGAAACTGAGCGAGGAAGCTTTAATATCCTGCCTGCATGTTTCACAACTCACTTTTTAGAACAATAAATACTCTGCTGACATACGTTTATAAATAAAGGCTTTCCATAGGCATTCTGAAACAGTCCTCTGAGGAAAAACTTCACAGTCAGCACAATGGCCAGCAAGAGGAGAACCTGCTCCTCTCAACCCTGACGTTCATGTATGGCTCATTAATTCCCATAAGAAGAAAAGCAATAAGAGGATTATCACTGTAGTGGGCACAGCAGGAACGCTGGTGAGCCACGTTTCACCACGAGTCAAAGCAAACTTTGATCAGGAGTCCAGAATCAAACAATGCTGAACAAGTTTAGGAATCTCCTACATCAGTCTGTCGGTTCTGGAACAGTTCAGACGCAGGATTTCTTGTGTCATTTCATCAGAAACTACAAAGTGCAAACTTTTCATCACTTTAAAGATTGAATGGAAAGTGATTCCTGGTCATCGAGTCCTTAGATACTCCGGTGTGGAGTAATTGAAGAGTAAAAAGTCCATTCTATAAAGATTGAAGAGTTTCTTCTGGTAGAAGGGGCTGATCTGCTTAAAGAAGCGTTCTGCCATGCTGCTGTCAGTCGTCGTGCTCTTGCTAGATGTCGGAAAATTCACTTTTCCCTCAACGCCTGCTAACCTCAGCACGGCATGAGCGTCCGGCTCCAGAGTCTCATACTTCCCCACCACGTCGTAGTGGATCATGCAGGGGTGGCAGAGGGAGTGCACCCGCTCCCAGTGCTCGTTAAAAGGCCCTTCCCTCTGTGTCCGAGGGTCTACCAGATACTGGACAAACTCCCGAAAAGAGACATCGTTTCCTTTCTCCAGCGCCTCGGGTTCAGGATTGAGCCGATGGCGACGGATGATCTTGGTTCCGTAGCGTTTATGGAAGGCAGTGTTGAAGCTACGGGTGAACTTGTTGCGGTAGGCCGACACCAGGCGCTGGAAGGGTTCCCGCACGAAAATGAACTTGAGGTAGCTGCGAAGGCGCTGGTTGATCTCCGTCACTGAGAACTCGGAGAGCGTGCGGAGGTTTCCCGCCACGTGGGCCTCGTTGGCAGGGATGGCCAGAGGGTCAGTGTAGCGCCCGTTACTGGTGAGCACCATCAGCACACGCTTCCAGTTTGTACAGGCCACCTGGAAGTCATCAGAGACAGAAACGCATCAGGTAAGGAAAGTGTTTAACTCATCACCCCATTGGATTTAATTACCTGGACTTAGACTAAGAATATCTATAGTGTATTATAAAAGTATGTGCACCCTGCAAACTACTTCAATTTACTGCAACTTCATGCTGCAGACCAGAGGTGGGCAATGCCAGTTCCTGGAGGCCTGTATCCTGCAACTTTTACACCCGTCCTTGTTCCAACACACCTGAAGAAAATGGCTGAATTATCTCCTTAATATGCCGTCATTTCCTCCATAGTCCTCTCAATCATCCAATTACTTGATTCAGGTGTGTTGAACCAAATGCACATCTAAAGGTTGCAGGATACCGGCCCATCCCTGCTGTAGACCAACACAATTTGGTGCAAAGTTATAAATTGCAATTAAAGATGCATTCAGCATGTTTGCTCTGATTCTAGCCCAATGGTTTGTATTTAATTCAAACTCAGTATAAAATTAGCTACTCGATGAAAAAAACTATGCAGACAGGAAGCTATGAACAGCAATGAATTGTATATTTAGCTATAGAGGAAAACAGACTGTAGGGATGATTCCTATTAGCTGGGAGAGAGAAGCAGAAAGATGATGGATCTAAATACAGAGAAACACTGGAAGGAAACCTGCAGTGGATTAGAGGGGGAGGTCCATCAGAAAACCTAAACATACAGCCAGATCAAGAACTACTGAAATCTGACAATGGCCTAGTCAAAGCTCAGTCAAAGTGCAGGAAAACTGAATTAAAAATTTGTGGTAAAATCTAAGTATTAATATTCTCTGCAGGTAAGTATGAATGAATCAGAAACATTTGCCAACAATGAAAAGGTTCAGGAGCTTGGCAGAAACAAGTGCATCAACTGACTTGATTTTAAAGTCGTAGGGAAGCGGCTGTTCCAAAGGTTACAGTTCCGAATTCTCCCGAGTGGTGCTGGACTTTACACGAGTGAATAAAGAGAATTTGATTGGTCGATTATCAAGGTTTTTTTTGTGGCGGAAGGTTGGCAGGCAAGTTTGGTTGTGGCCGGTTTCTTCAAAGCATCTTGCTAACCAGTTAGCAACTTAGTGTTAGTAGGTTCCCAATGGGAAATTACATTGGGACCAAGTAGGAGACTTAGAAGTGACACTGTCAAGGAACGCTATGGACAGTGGAAACATGCAAGGGAGGAGAGTTTTGTGTCGGAGGTCATGGATGAGTCTCCTCCATCATACATTTTTTATTTAGAGGAGGAAAGTGGGGATAAAGATGTTGTGGAAAAGGACGACAGGGCGGCAGAAGCTTGGTTTGGTGTAGAAGGCTTCCAGCCGTACATGTTTGAGCCCTTGCTTCGCAACGCTGCCAGCCAGAACACTGGGATGCAACTCAATGATTCTTTATTAACCGTTGCATATAATAGCTGGGACATTTGAATCAAGACGCTATGGCAGAAAAAATTTGATTGACAGATGACCGTTGATATATGATTGGTCGACTTTAGGTGTACAGGCTGACATATAACTAACTGGTCTGCATAAGATTTGTTTTTAAATAAAATTTTGGGACAATATAGCCTGATAAAGAGTACATATATATAAATGTTTAAGCCAGAATGATTTGAAATTTAAATCTGACTTCCCTTCGACTTTAAAAAGAATCAAGGTTTGTGAAAAATCTCTCTGTTCACTCAGCTTTTCTTTCTCTTCAAGTTGCAGACTCTGCTATTTAGGAATGCATTATTATTTAAATGCTGAATAAAACTGTTAAAAAAATGTAATTATGTAGACAGTTGAACATGAAGGAAGTTATTAAACTAGGACTAGAGAAATATTCCTTAAGGACTAAAGACCATAATATATCAGCCTCAGCTGATGTCTGTCTGCTCATACAGCCTCTTCAGTCCTTGATCCTCCACCCAGATGGTAAACTCTCCCTCTCAGCCACAAACCTGCTGCCTATAGCTGCAGCCGGGGATAAATCCTACAGAAACCAACCTTTGGCACGTAGCAGTAAATAAGGCCGTGTTTATCGTCCACAATGAGGTGCTTGAGATCCTCTGGTGAAAGAACTCTGCGCTTCTTCGTGTGACTCAGACACGCCTGCTCCAACACCTCCCTGCGGCCTTGGAGGGGCTTCTGAGCTCCAGACAGCTTCAGCTGCTTCTGATGAGGAGCAGAAACATAAACAGGAGCTTTTTAACTCCTCATTGAACTAATCAAATTGATGACAGAGTAACAGAATATTTGTTGATTCAATTACTGAGTTTAAGAAGTCAGAAAAGTTTCATAAGACACATCAGATAAAGCTTCAGTCTTGAGGAGGGATACAATTCGAAATTTGTCTAATCCTGAGTCTCTAAGTCTAAGTCATTATTTACAAACCAGGAGGCTTTGTGGATGAAAAATCCAACAAAACTGGAGACTATTTGTAATCAAATCCCTTTCCTCATTTAAATCTTTAAAATAAAACACCCTGAGAAGTCAGATAATTAGGAAATTGACTCCATCAGTCTAATTACAGCTGCTGTCAGGTGTCTGTAGACTTTTTCCTACTTTCTAATGAAGCATTTCTTTGTGTAACGACAGCATCTCTCTGATCATATGACAGAATATCCTCCAGACATGTTTTTTTTTTTTTTTATAAACTTAAGATCTTCTGAGTCTAATAACACAGAACACTAATTCACTGATATAACTGTGGTCTCTACAGAAACTATAAAGAATTCATATATTAATGTCAAATAATAAAACAACATATAGGCGTATGTCACATCGAACAAATCGTTTCCATTCTGATACTACGTATTATTTCAACATTTTTTGCAACCAAAAAATATTTCATGCCTTTATTTCTCATCTAGGTGATTATGGCTTAAATAAAATGAAAGCCTAAAGCTTCAACACAATAAAAGATCCAAGTAAAGTAATATTTTAAAGGAACTAACGAACATCTGGACGTATGAAGTATGTTTATATCAATGTCACCGTATTGGGTTGTTTATATGCAGAGGCATATAAACACATAAACAACATGGCAGCACATAAACAATGCTTGATATATTTCACTTACTGTAATTCTTATAAAGCTACACTTTCTAAAGGCACTGATACAGAAATGTGATCTCTTCATGATACTCTTATTGTTTTAGATGATATGTGGTGAAAAATGTCCAATAAAATGTAAGAACTATGTGTTTGTGCTCACCTGGTCTCCTTTGTAAAAAGTTTGCAGAGGACTTCTTCTACTCTTTCCAGGTCTGCTGCCGGTTTTCTGAGCCGTTTCTAAAGACCACAAAGAAAGTGATTGATTAAGCTCTTAACACAATCCTTTGATCTAAACAAGAATTTTAAATTTATGTACTAGAAAAGTTCTTATATTAATGCCACCATTATTTCATATGATGATTCTAACAACTCAGTAATCATTTCTAAGTAAAAATGAAGGAATATTCCTGTAAATCTCAACAGAATTTTACATCAATCAGGTACAAATTAAGAGAAAACTCGATGACCTTATTAAAAGAAAGAACCATTGTAGACTCCAGGCATGACTCATAGTCCAATACCAGGCCAATACCATCCCCAGAGGGAAGCATGGTGGTGGCAGCATCATGCTATGGGATTATTTTGCAGCAGCAGGTACTGACAGTTTATTTAAGATAAAGGGAAAGATGAATTCCGTAATGACCTGAGAAACTGTGGATGAAAACCTGCGACCGGACAAAAACCCAAATCCCACAGCGCAAGATGAACAAAGCAGAATGGGACAAACTGCCCAAATGTGGCATCATATATTTAGAAAATACTTTAGGCTTCAATTGCTGCAAATGACATGTTTTATCGAATTTTGCTGAAACAGCCAAATTTGATAACACTTGGAATAAGGCTGAATACAGTTAATAGGGTCCGGATGTTTGTTCAACAGCCTTAGAAATGAGCCTGGATGGAGGAAAAGGTTCTTGGTTAAAACACACTTTAAGTAAGAAAAGGAATTTGTTTAACAGATGTGACTCAACAATATGAGATGATTGTATCTAACAAAAACAAGGAGTCAGACAATGGTAAAGGGAGGGGGGAGGATAGCTTTAAGGCACAGCAGCGTAAAGGAAACTATTTGATTATGATGAAAATGTTGAATATATTCTTAGTGAAACAATATGTCATTAAACACAGTCTGTTACATAAGCACAGCATTCAGCTCATGCTGCGCTCCCCGCTGACTCTACAGGCACTCTACTGGAGTTCCTGTTTTATTGCCTGCAGAAGTATACGTTTGTCATAAATCATTGTTTTAAATTTAAATTCCTGTGATCATAGAAACTCGTCCTTCTTTGTGTGATTTACAGCTTCGATTCAAGCTTTAAATCATAACTGCTTCCTTTCTGTCAGAGGAAGGGGAAATCAAAAAAGCAGAACAACAGAAATCAATGGTGACACAGCAAATATCCATCTGAATACACAAATATGTTTATCAGAGTCTTGCTGGACGGTTCTTAAACTTTACTGTTTATTAAACCTTTTTATAAATAAAAGACATTTTGGATGTTTGGGGAAGAAATTGTAGTCGTAGTCACATCTTTATGGCCTTCCTCACTGGAAAAACCATCTCGAAATAAGTAAAAAAATCTTAAATTAAGTGTATCTATCCTTAATTTGAGTAGGTAAATTAGATAGTTTGCCAATGGAATGAGTATTTTTACTCTTAAAATAAGTTAATTAGATAATATGCACTTGAAATAATTCAATGCAATTGTGTTTTCTTATTTTAAGTGCATATTGTCTTGTTCCATTGGCTAAATGTCTCTTTTACCTCCTAATCCAAGAACAAATGCACTTATTTTAAGAAAAAATGACTTATCTAGATTTAAATTTTTTCCTGGGCTTTTACAAGCTCCATACTTGTATTCACAGGTTTCCCATTATCAGACAGACAAATCCAAGTTACAATGCAATGTTTTCTGCCATCCAAGTTGTCTGCAGAAAGAGCCGCAGCTCAAACGGCCTTCCTCAGGAAGCCAGAAAGTAGGTCAGCAGACTCCTGCAGAAGCTCTGCCTACTTAAATACCATACATAATAATTTCCTAAATATATGAAAAAGGTAAATTCTTTAAGTCGCTTAGATAAAAAAATGTTTTAGAATATCAAGCATTTAAAGACATCATCATGAATTGACCACTGTAGTGAAGGAGGCAGAAACAATAATCATAATGGAAGATAGAGAAAATAATGCTAATTAAAAAATGGGGAATGCTCCTAAAAGGTTTATAGGTGGCCTTTTAAAACAAAGTTTTAATTTAGCCCTCGGACTGTTTCTTCATCCTACCTCCAGCATAGACACCGACCAGAAGTCGCCTGTTCTCCCTGCTCAGGTTATCTGTCTGCCAAGCCAGCAAACTCCACTGTTCCCTAGCTGTCATTCTTCCAACTCCAGCAGTTAGCCTCTAGTAGTTATCTTTGGCTAGCCGCAGCCTCTCTCTGCTCATTCTTCCTGGTGGGCTTCTCCAAAGTACCTCTGTACTAATACGGGCCAGCAAAAACATGTCCCCTGCTTTCAGAGTTGTTTTTCCCCAGCAGACTTATCCAATCCTTCATCATGTTCCTTTGATCCTCCACAGTTAAACTAACTAGCCTCCGTCAGATGCAGCTTCTCCCCGGCGTGGCGCTGTTTCCCCAGGAGACTTCTCTGATCTACCACTGTGCTATTTCACAGTAAACTAGGCCCACCCGCCAGTCGCCAAAATCATTTTAGCCTGCAAATTTGATCTAGCCTCGATCAAAGCCCTAGAACTGGCAGGCCAATCACACCGCAGAGATGTGTTTTTAATTTCTGGATGCAAAGCAGGCGGGGTTTTGAGGGCGTGACGACAAAGCTGTGTGACGCTGGAGAAAACACAACAAGGAAGATGGCAACAACTATTGAACAGTTCTCGTTGCTTTGGAATCAGTTTTGGAAGGATTAGACTTGGGGTTTTCCTTGAAACGTGAGCAGGAAGAGGCTCTACGCTCATTCCTTTTTAAGAAGGACGTATTCGCCATTTTACCGACAGACTGTTTGTTTACACTCCCCCACCAGCTTTCTGTTATGCTTACTACGTCACAGTCAGTTGCGCTGATTGGTCAGAGCATTGGCCAATAGGCACAGACATGATTTGAAAAACAACGGGTTGTTCTCATCAACAATCTTCCGATGTCTCATTCATCGGGGCCAGACTAAATTACACGTTTAATCTCACATTTAGTCTGGTTTATCAGGTTATCTCCCCACTCTGGCACGCTGTCTGCCCGGTGGGCTCCTCCAATCAACCGCTGTGGTTCCTTAGCTGCAGAGCATAACTGGCTACCTCGTCCTGGTAATGGATCTCTCTCTGCCATTGTTCTCACACTGATTCCTTGCTGCTTTTCTTTGAGCTCAGAATTTCCACTTTCCTCTGTTGTGTGTTTAATTTGTCCCCATGATGGGAACTCTGACCAAAGCAAGCATAGACCAAAAGTAGGAGAAAGATGTGTGTCCCCTCATAGAAAAATAAATCAGCAACGCAAGGTTAGAGCACTTAAAATCGGTGGTCTTCATAATGACCGGTCGTTGGTTTTAGCCGATTGATAATCAGCCAAATTCCAAGCACTATCGATTGAACACTGCAAGCGATTTATATATTTTATATATTTTAAACTTATTTTGATTAATAAGGCATTGCTAATATGTAAAATGTTTCTGTGTTGAGTTAGGAAAATAAATGCATCAAAACTTGAAAAACTTTTTAGAAGCTTTTTGTTCAAACATAAAACGTTACATAACAAATAAAGTCAAGTATTTTTCAAGATTATGAGCAAAATAATCTAATAAAAATGTATTAAAGTACTAAATTACATCATGAATACATCTTAAATAATAAAGAAAAAAAACAACAACCAACATTAAATACATAAAATCATTTCTCCACGTGGAAACCGCATATATTCCAGTCACTTCTGGTGTTCTGGTTAAACAGATTCACTTTGTGCAGAATCACCTCTTGTACAAGATGACTTTCTGAATGAGTTCTTCCCACACTGATTAAATGTCGACGTAAGATGTTTAGCAGCGACCGTGAGTCATTTCGCACCCTGCTGTTCCTCCACTCCTCTTTTCAGTGCTGACTTTTCATAAGAAACACCAAATAAAGCTCGAGTTCAGCCTCAGGGTGAGGTGGAAATGTACGTCAGAAGTGAGACATTACCAGATAAAAGCATACATGTAAAGTCGCATAAACTGAACCTACAACGTAAAAGACTACAGCTTTTTGACAATAACCTTCTTTGTTATTGATTGGACGGCAGATTAATTGGAGAATCCTGAAGATACATAGAAGGTCAGGAGACATTTGAACAGTTTTTGAGCTTCTTAAATCCTACTGGTTCATAACACAATATTAAAAGTCCCTGGTGTAAACGAACATGTCCTGCAGTGCTCTATAGAAAATACTTTCATTGAAACAACCATTAAGCTACCATCAGTGCTGTGGTCTGTGGTCCTGTCAGAATAAGGTTGTTTACTCTGAGATGGAGCCATTTTGTGGACCCAATATCAAGACAACTCCACATTGGTTTTGAAAGTACTGGTATAAACCTAAAATCATCTATCTTAAAAAAATTTTTATATATTTTTTGCCAATAGTTTGATGTATTGTGCAAGCTTTAAACAAGAACCACGTTAAAACAACCACTGGTACAACAGACAATCTACAACTTCATCTCACATGTGCTACAACTTTTTTAACCAACTTATAGCATCTCATATGTTTAAACAATTATTTTTACATACATTTCCAGATGCCCAATTTCTAACATTAGTGTGTTAATGAAACACTTGAGGAGGACACCACCACATTGTGATTATCGTAAACCGCATCTCTTTCAGTCTGATCTGTCGTGTCACATGTATCAGAAAACCACTACTTCCTTTCACGGGAAGGAAGTGACAAAATGCTGCCTGCAGAAGAGCCTCTATTTCTATTTGGCCTCATCTTAGCGGGTCCATTTAGAAACTGGATCATGGATTCATGTCAGGTTGTTGTTTTTTCTAAATAGATAACAATGGCTCCATTAATCCTTCCAAATATGAAGACAACTATAAACACGGAGCACTTAACTCAACTATTGAGCAGAGGAGGGAAAGTAAATACGCTGTATAAGTGGGTGTGTGTTGATGGTGAGGAGGTTTTGTTTAACTTTAAAAGTGAAATGAGCAAAATTTCATTATTTTAGATAATCAACTCTGAAGAATCAAAGGTATCCTTCCAGGT